CATTTTAGCCATTTGTTAGTTTTAAAAAACTGTAATGGTTAAATGCTCATGGAATTTTTGCTTTGTCTTTGCTAGTGCATATTAAATTTCTTCTCTAAATTTAACTTGAATGCCATGGATTTTGTAAACACCAAGGTCCGGGGGACAACTTTTAGGACACTTTTCCCACTACTAGATGAGTCTTCACATTTTTAGTATCTTAGAAGCAGATTTCTGTTCCTTTATAACGCTGAGAACTTTATTTATACATGTATTATATTGAATTCAAGTTGCATTATAATTATTTACTTATAAGCTTGGCTCTCCAAATAGACTCATAACTTACTAAGGCAGGGACCAGATGTATTACCTTTGTCTTTTCAACCCCTGGTCCAATGCCTACCATAGAGCCGTAGAGTTGGAGCCTTAGAGATTTATAAATGTATCTATTTTTATAACACCAAAGGAAATGAGAAAAGATTGTTTTCTTTATTAGAAAAATCATAGATTAGCTATTCTAGCCTTCCCATTTCACAAATGGGGATTTGGGAACCTGAAAAGAAAGCTGCTTTTCTTTTGCTGATGTCACAAAACTGGAGGCAAATCTGCCTCTAATCATGTTCATGGTGTTTTGTTTGATACCAAAGTAATACATATTAATTGCAAAAATTTTGACAAATTAAAAAAGACATAAAGGAGCCAAAGCAATCCTGAGAAGGAAAAATGAAGCTGGGGGGATTATTCTTCCCAACTTCAAGATCTACTACAAAGCCACACTAATCAAGACAATTTGGTACTGGCACAAGGAACAGAACCATAGACCAATGGAACAGACTAGAGAGCCCTGATGTAAACCCAGCCATATATGGTCAATTAGTAATATGATAAAGGAGCCATGGACATACAATGGGGAAATGACAGCCTCTTCAACAACTGGTGTTGGCAAAACTGGACAGCTACACGTAAGAGAATGAAACTGGATTATTGTTTTACCCCATACACAAAGGTAAACTCAAAATGGATCAAAGACCTGAATGTAAGTCATGAAACCATAAAACTCTTAGAAGACAACATAGGCAAAAATTTCCTGAATGTAAACATGAGCGACTTCTTCCTGAATGCATCTCCTCAAGCAAGGGAAACAAAAGCAAAAATGAACCCATGGGACTACATCAAACTAAAAAGCTTCTGTGCAGCAAAGGACACCATCAACAGAACAAAAAGGCATCGTACAGTATGGGAGAATATATTTGTAAATGACATATCCAACAAGGGGTTAATATCCAAAATATATAAAGAATTCACATGCGTCAACACCCAAAAAGCAAATAACCTGATTAAAAAATGGGCAGAGGATATGAAGAGAGAATTCTCCAAAGAAGAAATTCAGATGGCCAACAGACACATGAAAAGATGCTCCACATCACTAATCACCAGGGAAATGCAAATTAAAACCACAATAAGATATCACCTCACACCAGTAAGGATGGCCAGCATTGTAAAGACTAAGAACAACAAATGCTGGCGTGGATGCAGAGAAAGGGGAACCCTCCTACACTGCTGGTGGGAATGTAAGCTAGTTCAGCCATTGTGGAAAGCAATATGGAGATTCCTAAAAAAACTAAAAATAGAAATATCAAATATCATTTGACCCAGGAATCCCACTCCTTGGAATTTACCCAAAGAATACAACTTCTCAGATTAAAAAGACATATGCACCCATATGTTTATCACTATTTAGCACTATTTACAATAGCCAAGAAATGGAAGCAACCTAAGTGCCCATCATGAGATGAATGGGTAAAGAAGATGTGGTACATATACACAGTGGAATACTATGCAGCCATAAGAAAGAAAACAAATCCTACCATGTACAGCCACATGGATGGAGCTGCAGGATATTACGCTCAGTGAAATAAGCCAGGCAGGGAAAGACAAGTACCAAATGATTTCCCTCATTTGTGGAGTATAACAATGAAGCAAAACTGAAGGATCAAAACAGCAGCAGACTCATAGACTCGATCCAAGAAGGGTCTAGTGGTTAACAAAGGGGAGAGGTGTGGGAGGGTGGGTTGGGAGGAAGGGAAATGGGGATTGATGGATATTATGTTTAGTACACATGGTGTGAGTGGTCACAGGGAAAACAGTGTAGCACAGAGAAGGCAAATAGTGAATCTGTGGCATCTTACTACACTGATGGACAATGACTGCACTGGGATATGGGTGGGGACTTGATAATACGGGAAATGCAGTAACCATATTGTTTCTTCATGTGAAACCTTCATAAGAGTGTATATCAATAATGCCTTAATAAAGTTAAAAAAAAACACATAAAGGAGCCAACAGGCATATCAAAAGATACTCAAATCAAACCTCACTAGAAAAATGTAAATCAAAATCACAATGAGATACTACTTTACATGTATTAGGATAGATGATATTTTAAAAAACACACACAAAAAAACAGAAAACAATAAGTGTTGACAAAGATGTGGAGAAATTGGAACACTGGTGTGTTGTTAGAGGATTGTAAAATCATATAAGTCCTGTGGAAAACAGTATGTTAATTCCTTAACAAATTAAAAATGGAACTACCATGGATTAAGCAATCCTACTTTGGATATATATTTGAAAGCACTGAAAGCAGAGTCTTGAAGAGGTATTTGAACACACATGTTCATGGAAACATTATTCACAGCAGCCAATAGCGGAAGCAACCCAAATGTCCATTGACAGATGAATGCACAAATAAAACATGGTGTATATGTACAATGCAATGTTATTCAACTTTAAAAAGGAAGGAAACCCTGTCATATTCCGAATGGATGAACCCTGAGGACATTATATAAGTAAAAGAAGCCAGTCACAAAAAAACACTGCGTGATTCCACTTACACGAGGGTACCTAGAATAGTTAAATTCATGAAACAGAAAGTAGAATGCTGGTTACCAGGAACTGGGAGGAGAGGGAACTGGGGAATTATTAAACGGACATAGAATTTCAGTTTTGCAAAATGAACAAGTTCTGGAGATCTGTTACCCAACAATGTGAATATACTTAGCACTACTGAGCTGTACATTTAAAAATGCTTATAAGGGAAAATTTGTTGTTATATCTTTTCTTCTGCAACTAAAACTAAACAAATCCATAAAGGAACAGGATTTTTAAATACACATAACAGAAGAGGAGTTAAGTTTAACACAGTTGTTTTTTCTATAATATTTATATATTAAAATCATATTTGTATAAATGATAATGGCACATGTCTCTAATAAGAAAAATATGAAAAAGTGTTTCTAAAGCTCTCTAAATACCATTGAAAAGGCTGAAAAATAGCCCATCATGAATAATCTACAATTTAAAGTATCTCTATCCCCATATTCAAATTCACTTTTATAAATAATGCTCTATTTTCTCTTTTTGTACATTCCTTGTTGTCTGCATTTTTGTAAATCTCTTAGGATAAAATCTCAGAAGTAAAATTAGCAGAATGAACATATAAAAAATATTTGATATATATTGTAAAATTTAGTATTGCTCCAGTGTCCATTCACGTTAGCAGGGTGTGAATGCCTCTATTTTATCACACCCTCATCTGCACTGAATCTCCTCCTCCTCCTTTTCATTATTATTATTATTGTTGTTGTTATTATTTCAATTAGGAAGGAAGGAAATAGGATTATCTGTTGATTTGTATTTCTTTGTTAGTAAAAATGATACAATTGAAGTACTTTTTAGTCATTTCTATTTTTTCTTGTGTTTATTTTTTACATTTCAAGATACAAATTGAATGACATCTTTCTTATAAAGAAGTGTGATTATTGTCTGTCATATTAGATTGCACATTTATTTTAAATTCTGTGATAAATAGACAATTATTAACATATAGGTAGCTTATTTAACTCATCCTCATTTAAATTTTTATAATTTGGTTTTTACTCCATTTTCAATTAGTTGTGTTGTAGTAAATGATTTCAGGATTTAAGTACATATTTCATGAAATTCTTCATACAATTTCAGTACAATTTCTTGTAAAATCCTGCTACAGTTTTGCTTAGGATTGTATAAATTCTATGAATGAAGTTTGGAATAATTGTAATAACTTCAATGACAATCATGACAGAAATAACTCTAGCTACAAGTTGTTCAGTGCCTGCTGTCTGCTAGGTATTGCATTTACTACTAGACCACATTAATTCAATTCATATAACAACCTTGTGAAGCATGTGCTATTATTATGGCCATTTTACAGAGAATCCAACTGAGGCACAGAAAAGTTATAGAATTTGCTCATGATCACTCAGTAGTAATTGATGGAATAATGCTTTGACTTCAGTCAATATATCTTCAGAACCTGGGGCTCTATGTGCCTTTAAAGGATTCTAAGCTGCCTCAAAATCTTTATAAGATTAATTTGTCCTTCCTGAAGACTTAATTAAAATTGCCTTTATGTTTCTAAGATAGTTTTAATTTTTGCAATTTTTTGCTGGTTTTGAATGGCTTTTAGTTTGGTCTCATTCTATTTTCATATTGATTATTTTTAGTGTCTAAGCACTTTATTGAATTCTTACTAATCAAGAGGTATCGTTTAACTTTCTTGGGTTTCCTCGTTGTAAAATTATGTCTTATGAAAACAATGATAATCTCATTTCAAATTCTATTCCATATTTTGTAGTAGTAGCCATAAGTTCTATAACCATTAGATTAATAAGGAGCCGAGCATGTTTGGGGGTTTTGTTTCTAAATATAACAAATAACATCAGGGTTTTCTTTATTAGGGGTAGTGATGGCTGTCAGGTTAGGAAAGCATTATTTATCATGGTTTATGTATTTATTTTGTCCAAATTTTTCTTCAACTAAAAATAAAAAGTTAATTTCATTCAAAATCATTTAGCATTTATTGAGACGATAATGTACAATTTTTCCCCCTCTTATTTTTCTTACATTAAAAAACGACAACTACACCCTCCCAGAGAACTGCTGGGCCTGCAGGTCTGTGGTGAGCCACGGACACTGGTGTCCAATCCACAGCATGGGGTTTATGAAAGTTGTTAAGAATAAGGCCTACTTCAAGAGATACCAAGTAAAATTTAGAAGACAGCAAGAGGGAAAAACTGATTACAATGCTCAGAAACACCTGGTGATTCAGGATAAAAGTAACTACAATATACCCAAATACAGGATGATAGTTCATGTAACCAACAGAGATATCATTTGTCAGATTGCTTATGCCTGCATGGAAGGGGATGTGATAGCTTGTGCAGCTTATGCTCATGAACTCCCAAAGGATGGTGTGAAGGCTGGCCTGACAGATTATGCTGCAGCATACTGCACTGGCCTGCTGCTGGCTCCCAGGCTTCTTAATAGGTTTGGCATGGACAAGATCTATGAAGGCCAAGTGGAGGTGATGGGAGATGAATACAATGTGGAAAGCATTGATGGTCAGCCTGGTGCCTTCACCTGCTATTTGGATGCAGGGCTTGCCAGAACTACTACTGGAAATAAAGTTTTTGGGGCCATCAAGGGAGCTGTGGATGGAGGATGATCTATCCCTCACAGTACCAAACGATTCCCTCATTATGATTCAGGAAGCAAGGAATTCAATGCAGCAGTACATCGGAAACACATCATGGGGCAGAACGTCGCAGGTTACATGCACTACCTAATGGAAGAAGATGAAGATGCTTACAAGAAACAGTTCTGCCAGTAGAAAATATTTAAATTAAAAAAAATGACAACTACATGTCTTGCACAATTATCATATTCTAATTCCATTTAAAACACATCACATTCAATGTCATATTTCATCTTCACAAAAAGCCTATGATAGGTACTTGAATTATTATTATTATTATTATTTGATTCTCAGATAAGGAAGCTGAAGCTTAGAGTGATTGGTTGTACGCACAGAGTCGTATAACTAGTCAGTGGCAAACGAAGGCACGCGCAGGAATTACCTAAAAAGTGAGGAAAACTGTCAGCAGGAAGGAGAAGCACCGAAGAACTCACACTAGAGGGGGAAAGATAGTATAAAAACAGAGGTATATCTTGAAAAATAAGCATATTTATTAGCCACAGTAGAGTAGGTTACTATGAAATAAGAACTGTGACATAGAAAACTCAAGAATGTTACCAAAAATTTGACATTTATCCTCAGTGATATCACTTGACATTCACAATTCCCCAAATAAAGAATAAACTGAAGAGCAAAATTAATGCTCTAGATTTAAAACCAAAGAATATACTCAGAATGCAATATTAAAGGATAAAAAGAATTAATGAAAGACATACGTAAAGACGTGTAAGACAGAACCTAAAGTTCCAAAAACTCAGTGGAGAGTTATCTTCAAAATTCTGAGAGACAAATACAAATCTGGAAGTGTGTGTCTAGATGAACTGTCACTTAATTGGGAAGGCAAAATACAAACACTTTCACATTTCAAAAGATTAGGAAGTTTACCACCCAAGAACCATAACTAATAACCTTATAGAACAGTTACCTTTGTTTCTGGATTGGCACTGAAGAGTGGTTTCCACAGAGGAGAAAGAAAACAGGAGCTTCCCAGACAAAAGCAACTTGGGTGGGGTTGTAGGTATGTTGTATCCAATTATTGTTGAAAAAAAGGTCATGTGGCGTTTTGGGTTTCTCCAGTAAAAGGACATTTTCCTTTACCTAATATTTTATAAGAAGAGTGTAACTATTAGTCAAGTTAATGTCAATGTTTTATATTATTAATTTTTTTCACTTTGGCTGCATAGCCATCCATCAGGAGGACTGAATTACAGAGTTACAATGGATGTGGTCTCTGATACAGGCTGGCACGCTGGAGGAAGCACAGGCAGGCCAGGCTCTTTGCAGCACAGTTCACAAGACGGAGAACAGCAAACGAGACCAGAGAGTTCGGGTTGGGCTTGTAGGGCATCACAGTGACTGGATGGTTTTCAGCAGAGGAGGATTTGAGCAGATCATTTTGATTTCTGTGTTGAGGAAAGACTAACGCAGGACATAACAGGTAAGATGCTGTGGGACAGTGAGCTAATCCCCTTGAGTTAGTAAGCTAATGGCTATGATAATGCTGTGTAATAAACAATCCTGAAATGGAATGGATTGAAACAGTAGCATTGAGTCTCGAGGATCTGTGGGTCATGTAGGGGCCAGCTGACCTAGGCTGGGCTGGGCTTGGCAGTGCTGTTCCAGCTGCCAGTGTGGCTCTGCTTGGAGCCTCCCACAGGTCTGCTCCATCCACACTTGTCTGGACCCCAGGATGATAGGGCACAGGTGAGCTTGGGGAAGCTCTTCTCAACATGGTGGCAAAGGCCAGAAAGAAAGCCCCATTGGATGGGCACATTTCAAGCCTGTGCCTTCACAACTGAGAAGCATACAGTGAAGCTCAAAGTCAAGGGCTAGGGAAATAAACTGCCCAGCAGGATGCTAGGGCACAGGTGCATACACAGAAGTGATGACTTGGGGCCAATAATTCCATCTCCTGCACCGATTGAAATATAACCGTGGCTTGGGCTAAGGAAGGCACAGTGAAGGACAGGGAGTGGCCCAACTGTGTGTGTGTATTTTGCAGATAAGACTGGGGGCTCTTTTGTCCCCTCCTGGTGTGAGCCGAGAGATCTGTCCTTTCACTTTATCTCTAAATAAAAGCTTATACAAAAAAAAAACAAAAAAAATGATAGGATTTGTGCATGTTTCAGAAATGGGGGAAAAACAGAAAAACTGAGGATGACTTTCCTTATCCATGTGTTCAGAAATATCCTTTTTAGAATTCTGCTTTAGACTGATAGTAAGTGCTCCATTTCTAATGTTTTGGCACTTCTCTTCCACAATCTCTAAAGATCATATACAGAATTGCAGACACCTCATTTTCCACATTGTCTTATTCCTAAGAAATGTAACTGTTCTGATTCAGGGGAGGTGCTTGCTATATGAATATAGTCAGCTGCAGCAGAAGTCTCCTACTGCCTCCTCCACAATAAGGCTTCAGTTTCTTGCAAGCAATGTCCCAACTATCCCTTCAGTCCACCAATAATCCCTCTCAAAAAAAATAAGTCGATGATGTCTAGAAAGACTCTGTTTCTCCTGGTTCGTCATCAGCATTAAAACATTTGATCTAGTGTGTACCTGGTCACCCACTTTTTTTCTCCAAACATGTCAGAGGTCAAGCTACATTCTGAGCACAGTGTCTGAGACATAAGGAACGTTCAGAAGGATTTTCAACATACGTAGTTCACATTTATTAAAGCTTTGGCACTTAGACTCACAGGCTTCAGTCATTTGGGAATATTATCAACAATAAATAATCCATTCCCTAGTGATGGTAAATAAACGAGGCATCACTCCATTACACTTTTGTTGGTTTATGCATCAGTACGGGGAGTGTCTTCCATTTAACAATGCAAAGTGTGCACACTACGTTTGTTTTGTTGCTATGTGTAACTGTTTAGTCCCAGGATACCTGCAGCTGGAAAGAAGTCCTGCTGAGTGACAGAGTTACATAATTCTACCTTCTTGGTAAACTGTCTTGGGCCTCAGCTTCCCCAGATCAGATGTCTATCAGGAGACATGTTGGTCTTGCATTGTTCATCCTGGTTTGACCCTAAGCCAAGAACTTTTACAGAAGCCTGACTCCTGGGCCTCCTTCCTAAGTAACTACCACTGCGATAGAAGTAACCGATTCCTGCTCATTACTGCAGCTCCTGTTGACAGGAAATGGGGTGTTCACCCTTTTCAAAAGAAAGGCAATGAAAAACTGTTCCTTTGCAGGTGGAGTTTTCTGGCTCATGGAAGGGTTAGAAATGAAATTAGCCATTGGAAATTTCATTCAGATCAGTCCAAACATTGCGAAGTACAATAAATGCAGACCTTTCCACATCGGGTAATCAAGTTCAATTTCTCTCCATGTCTTTCCTCCAAAGCAGACAGCTGTGAAACTTTTATTAGCTGTTTTCCATGTGCCCAGCTGCTGCCAGAGTCTTCAGAGAGAGAACATCCCAGAGTGAGCTCTGAGCCCTGACCTTGCAGGGCATGCAATCTAGTCTGGAAGATCGGAGTCACCCATGCAAACTGCTCAGTGAACTAGGCAGCCCATGATAGAGTAGCCAGCTGTGTGGGTCGGACAATAGGCAGTTCAGAGCCAACAATAACTGCTAAGTGTCTGTGGAGCCAACTTCAGGAGAAATGGGAATATGACAAAATGGTATAAATAAGATGCCTGATTTGGACATTTCAACCTCTACTGTTTCCTTTCTTCCAACTTCAATTTCCCTGTAACAGATCAAAACCACTTTGTAACAGTAATCACTTCAAAATGAATTTTAAACTAATATGCCCCCACTCTAAAACAATATTCTTATTTTGGATGGACCTACCATCCATCCATCACCCTGACCCACTCCAGTAAAATGATGCATAATCCATCACAGAGCTTTCTGCACATTGCTCCCCTGTTTAGACACACCAATGGCTCCCTATGGCCAGCATCAATCAGCCTTTGCTTAGAGACCCATGCTTCCCCAGCCGGGCCCAGCTTCACCCACCCATATCTGGGTACAGCACAGAGGCTTCTCCTTCTTTTAGGGCACCCTCAGTGGTGTCCCCAACTTTCCACCATACTGAATCCACCACCTGTGACCTCATGCGACCATGATATTTTACAGAGTTGGCAATATATTTGATTTGGCTGTTTCCCACATATATGTCTTATCATTCTAGATGGATTATCTTCCAGAACAGACCTATGGAATATAATTGGAGATGTTTCCACTTTCCCCATGACATGTAGTAAATTTTTAATAAATCACTCATTGATTGGTTCTAATTTCTGTGGAACTAGAGCACGGTGATGAGCATACATTAAACACTGCATGCAGGGCCAGGACCAGGATGAGGCAAGCCATGTGGCTGGGGGTGAAATTCAAGAAGGCATTTACTCTCAGTTACTCTCAGACCCTATGCTTGTGAAACCCCAAGAGTGAATGCCTCCTCAAACTTTGTGCCCTGCGTGGTTTGCTTGCCCTGCCCGAGAAGCTGCTCTGATTAGATAGTTTTATGAAGGATTTTTACAGACTCTATACAGTAAAAGTATACACTGACTTTATTTTCCCTCACAGCTGTTCATAAACACTATATGAGTGTATGCATATGAAGAGGTTAATTCTGCCAGACTGGCTGCCCTCCAGCGGTGGCAAAACCCTCATAGTTATGCCTTATCCTCAGGAGAGGGGGCTTTGGAGCAAAGAGCTTGACCCCAAGTTAGATCCCCCTGGCACTGAGGCCCAACATCACTCTTCACCACCTAAGTAATCTTAACCTACAATTATTTGGCAAAGCTATAGAAGAAGTAAGATAGGAAGGAAGGAGAGGAGAAAAAGGAAGAAAAGGGGAAGAAGGAGGAAGAAAGGAAAAGGAGAAAAGAAATCACAAGGTTTTTATGAGGACTGATTGGAATTTCATATGTGAAAATACAAAGCCCAACATAAAACTTAGTTTATTGTTACTTTTGTTGATGGTTTGTTTTTTTGAGGGCGCTCATGCTCATAAAACCGTTCAGGCTTAGAATCCTACACACATATACCTTTAAATGTACAAATTCATTCATAACATATATTAAAGTTCCTGCACATGCATTGCTCACCTAATAACGCTAGTGAGAGATTAAATTAAATAAAACTCCTTGAGTTGTTCTAGCCACCAGAGAACGG